TTTGGTAACTTGACTGTCTTAAGTTTTTGCAGGCCTGCTCCTTCTGTCCATTGCTTCTGCTGGCTCTTGCCGATTTTACATTTGTGATTTTTTATTTTGAACTTATATTCCTTGAAACTATCTCAGAGTTCCTCCAAAAACAATCCATTTTGCAGCCGTCAGTCACCTAGAAGGCACCAAAAAGCTGATATTGCTTTAAATTTGAAGCCTGACGCATTTTAGACCACCCAGCTTGTGTGAACACCCAGTTAAAGGGTTGGTTTTATAGATACATAAAACTCTCAGGGGAGATGTTTTCTCTCAGGATGCACAATGTTCCTCACTGTTCCTAGGGAAGCAGGGGCCAAGGGCAGCATACAGGGGAGGCGGAAAGGTTTATTCATAGTTCACCCTTACACTAAGTCTGTCCTTTTGGATCTCACTTTATGATGTCTCCTCTTAGCTCCTCCCACTCGGGCAGGCCCTCAGCTTTGTCTGCTGTTCTGCTGCCCCTTTCCCACCTCAGGCTGTGAAAAACAGCAAAGTTTAATTTGACATTTGGCAAATATCTTAAGGGTGAAAAGTGGCATCAGTGTCTTAGTTATTTCTTTGGGTTTCATCTCCATTTTAAAACTTTTTTGGCTTTTTGGAACTCTTATTTTGTAGCTCATTGACATGTTTTTAAAAGGTTCTTGAAATGTATTCCAGAAGCTTTAGTTGTTTTCAGCTGGTCCTTATCAGCCCTACTGTTGGAAATAAAATTCTTTCAACTTGTTCTTTAGCAATGTACAGGCTCCACAGATCTCTCCCTGATCCTGAGGCAATAGGGTAAGAACACCACTTAGGAATCAGGCTGGCCTGAGATCAAGTCTCGGATCCACCAGCAGTGTGACATCAGTGCCTCAGTTTCTTTTTTTTTTGAGACGGAGTTTGCTCTGTCACCCAGGCTGGAGTGCAGTGGCGCGATCTCGGCTCACTGCAAGCTCCGTCTTCGGGTTCACGCCATTCTCCTGCCTCAGCCTCCTGAGTAGCTGGGACTACGAGCGCCTGCCACCACGCCCAGCTAATTTTTTGTATTTTTAGTAGAGACGGGGTTTCACTGCGTTGGCCACGATGTTCTCTTTCTCCTGACCTCGTGATCCGCCCGACTCGGCCTCCCAAAGTGCTGGGATTACAGGCGAGATCCACCGCGCCTGGCCGCCTCAGTTTCTTTATAGCGTTGGTGATATGGTTTGGTTCTAAGTCTCCAGCCAAATGTCATGTCTAACTGTAATTTCCAGTGTTGGAGGAAGAGCCTGGTGGAAAGTTATTGAATCATAGGGGTGGACATCTCCCTTGCTGTTCTTGTGATAGAGCTCTCATGAGATCTGGTTGTTTAAAACTGTGTAATAACTTCTCCTGCCCTCCTGCTGGCCATGTGAAGATATGCTTCCTTCCCCTTCACCTTCCACCATGATTGTAAGTTTCCTGAGGTCTCCTCAGCCATGCTTCCTGTACAGCTTGTGGAACCATGAGCCAATTAAACCTTTTTTTCTTTATAAATTACCCAGTCTCAAGTAGTTCTTTATAGCAATGTGTGAACAAACTAATACAGGAAATTGGTACCAGAGAAGTAGGGAATTGTTACAAAGATACCTGAAAATGTGGAAGTGACTTTGGAACTGGGTAATAGGCAGAGGTTGGAACAGTTTGGAAGGCTTATAAGAAGACAGGAAGATGATGGCGGGGCATGATAGCTTATGCCTGTAATCCCAGCACTTTGGGAGGGTGATGCAGGTGGATCATTTGAGGTCAGGGGTTCAAAGCCAGTCAGCCAACATGGTGAAACTCTGTCTCTACTAAAAATACAAGAAAAAAAAATTAGGCAGGCATCATGGTGCACGCCTGTAATCCCGGCTACTCAGGAAGCTGAGGTAGGAGGATAATTTGAATGCAGGAGGCAGAGGCTGCAGTGAGCCAAGATAGTGCCACTGCTCTCCAGCCTGGATAACAGAGTGAGACTCCATCTAAAGACAAAAACCAAAAACAGAAGACAAGAAGAAAAGTTTGGAACTTCCTAGAGACTTGTTGAATTGTTGTGACCGAGATGCTCATACAGTGATATGGACAGTGAAATGCAGGCTGAGGTGGTCTCAGATGGAGATGAGGAACTTATTGGGAACTGTAGCAAAGGTCACTCTTGCTGTGTCTTAGCAAGGAGACTGGTGGCATTGTGCTCCTACTCTAGGAATCTGTGAAATGAGTCTTTAGAACTATATTTAGTTAACCATCGGCTAATTTCCAGATAAATAGTTCTGCAGAGGTCATATAAGGTACAAATAGCAGTAGATCAAGGGGGAGGATGATCTTGGGGACTCCTGAAATACACTGTAAATAACCCAGATATCCCCCAATGAATAAATGGATATACAAAGTGTGGTATACATACATATGTACAAACAATGGAACATTATTCAATCATAAACAGGAATAAAGTACTGATACAGGCTACACAATGAATGAACCTCAAAAAACCTTAGAATCCTGCTAAGTGAAAGAAGCCAGTCACAAAAGACCAGATATTGGATGACACATTTATATAAAATGTCCAGAATAGGCAAATCTAGAGACAGAAAGCAGATTAGTGGTTGTCAGGGGTTGAGGGAAGGAGGAAATAAGGAGGGATTAAGTGAATTAATGCATGTTAACACCTTAAACTTTGGGCAACTGCCCAATCACACAGACAGTGCAGTCTCATTCATAGGTTACATGAAAAAACAAAGAGAAAAGCCGAGGCAGAAATACCAACATGTATGTTATTAAAAACATAAAACCTAAGTATATAGACAGACTACGTTCCTTAATGAGCAGATTCAATATTATAAGGTTGCCAATTCTCCTCCCACAATCTCTCAAAAGTTGCAAAGTAATGCAATGTAATGCAATTTTAATCCAAATGGCATGCTTATCTAGACAAGAAAAAATTGATTATAAAATTTATATGAAATAATAAAGGTGTGAGAATTGCAGGGAAAATTTTCAAATGGAAGATTATTAAGGAAGAAAAGAGTGTGAAGACCCTGCTCTATATGGTAGAAGTCAAAGACAGCTACCATCAATTCTTTCCCTTCCTCAACACACATTGCTTCTCAAGAGGTGAGGAATAACTCCCCTCCCCTTGAATCTGGTTGCCTTGCGACTTGCTCGATCCACAGAATATGACATAAATTCCACTCTGGGAATTCTAGGATTGGGTTTTTTGTTTTTGTTTTTGTTTTTTTTTTAAGACAGAGTCTCGCTCTGTCACCAGCCTCTGAGACAGGATTCTCCTGTCTCAGCCTCCCGAGTAGTTGAGACTACAAGTGCATGCCACCACACCCAACTTATTTTTGTATTTATTTATTTTTTATTAGAGACGGGTTGCACTATGTTGGCCAGGATGGTCTCGATCTCATGACCTGGTGATCTGCCCACCTCGGCCTCCCAAAGTGCTGGGATTACAGGCATGAGTCATCACGCCCAGCCCGATTTTATTTTATTTTTTAAAGAAACTGAAGCTTCTACTTCGGTTTCTTGGAAGCCTTGCTCCTGGGAAGCTCTTCCTTGAACCTAGTTGCCATTCCATTCCACCAGGCCACACATGTCTTCTCCAGGCAACAGTCTACATGAATTGCCAGTCATGTAAGTGAGTTCAGATGACTGTGGCCCCAGCTAACATTTGACTGTAATACATGTGAGAGGCCCCATGCAGAACCACCTAGAACCATGGAGATCAACCACCCTGCAGAAGCATGAAGTTAAGCTTAGGGGTGGTTAATTACGCAAAAATAAGTAAACAGAGCACTCCACCAGGTATTAAACATTATTACAAATATTATGTAATTAAAACAATACAGAACAGACCAGGGTTGACTACAAGATCAATGGGACAGAATAAAGTTACACAACCAATGCCCCCTGGTGACCACAGGGATTTGTCACAGATCTCATCACTTAGAAACCCTACAGCGGTTTCCCTGGTCACCTTCCAGTCACCTCTACACCTTGGCTCCTTTTAGCACTCCTCCCTGGCTTATCACTATATGGAATTACTTTATCTCTTTGTATTGTCTGTCACCTGCCACCATAATGTGAATTTCTAGACCTCCATAGCATCCAAAGCCCTAGAACAGTTCTTAGAACACAGAAGGTGCTTGACAAATATTTTCTGAAAGAAAAAGAAGATACTTCAATACCTCAGTTTATTAATGAAGTGGGGCTACCATATGGCTGCCTGAACAAATACAGCTTGACACTCACTTTCTTGCTAATGACTGAAGTGTATTAACTTGTGTAATCACACAACTACCCTATGGGGTAGGTGTCCTTATTTCTCCATTTAGCAGATGAGGAAACTGAAGCACAGAGGGGCCAAGTATCTTGACCAAGGTCACACAGCTTTTAAGTGCCAGAGCCAGGACTCAGATCCTCACAGGTCTGGCTCCAGAGCCCCCAATTTAACCTCCTAACCTCTCTGCTTTACTGGGCTAAACCTTCACCACCTGGAACTCTCCAGGTGCTCGTAAGCGAGCGCTACCCAACTCCCATCACGAACTCGGAAGACCTGTCATTTTCTGAAATTTTCACAACTTCTAAGACACTAGTTATTGGGGAAAACTTCAAATTATTTAAATAATGAGAGGCGAATAACATTGCTAAACTCATGAACATTCTGTATTTAAAAACTCCACTGGCGATCAGGGCACACAGAATCTCTACTACTGATCCCTGACGCTGACCTTCCCCAACCCGTCGGCCCACGGACCCCAGCCCTGACCCCACCTCCTCCCAGCATCTGACACAAGGATTCTCACCACACTCCCCAGAGACTCGCCTGCCCAGGGCCCCTCTCTAACCCCACATAGCTCAGGTCTCTGACCCAGAGACAGCATTACCGACCTCTCCTACTATCTATTTCCAGATTAGAGTCCCTGATCCCAGAGGTATTGTCTACAATAACTAGCTCTTATAACTATGTCCACTTCAGGAACCGCCCTGTGACGTCAGAACTTTGAGGCCGCCGGGCCAGGGCTGCACATGCTCAGTGAGGCCGGCGCCCGCCAGTAATAAACATGGCTCCCTAAAGCCGCTCGGGCTCAAGAGCAACATGGAGGCCTGCACTTCATCGCTCTTCTCTGGGGGCGGCCATACTGAGGAGGCATCTCTTCCGTGCAGGCAGGCTGTCCTGGGGACCTCAGAGATTCTCTCCAGCGGCAGCGGAAAATGGGCAACGGGTGGATTCGGGTCCAGATTCCGGCAGGAGGGAGTTTGGGATCGAGATGTGGAAAAAAGCATTAGACTGGAAGAGGACGCGATGGAGTCGGAGCCGCTGGCGGGGACAAAAACCTGGGGCTGGGGAAGGCGCCGGTGGGAGGCAAGGCGCCGACGGACTTTACCCGCGCACGCGTCGCAGCCGTCTCCGCGCACAGTGGTGGCCATCGCGGCTGGTGCCCCAGTGTCGGCGTGTGCCGGGGGCTCCACTGGGACCCGGGTCGCTCGCCCTGAGTCTCCCCTTCCTCAGCTGTACGCTTGGGACAAGAACAGTAACCCTCGCCAGTCAAGACAGGCCGGGGCTGTCCGGAGGGCCCACGCCTTAGAGCAGGCCCCTATCGTGTTCAGGGCCCTGAGATGGGGTCTGACTCAGTTCCTGCGGGGAAATTCACCAGTGACCCAGTGAGTGCCCTTCAGTTAAAGACCACCAGGAGCACACTTGTGGAAAATATAATTACATTGCAGCAAGGAATGGGGTACTATGGGTCATCTCAGTGGAAGGAGTTAGAGAGAAACTATTAAACGAGTCGGGGTTTAATTGGTTGGTTTTCGATAGGGTCTCAGAAAGTGAAGATTTTAGATTGGATGCTGTCAGAAGTGGCATCAAGACTTTGTTTTTTATCTGCGTTTAGACAACATTATAAAGTGCCCTTGTTTTTGTTTGCACTTACCACGGTCTCCGATTAACCTTCTGAAGTTGACATTATTCTGTGAGATTGTTTATATCCAACAGGAAAACAAAATGGCCTGGCCATGAGCATCAGACCGGCGTGTAATAACATTAAGGCCTAACTGTGACCCAAATATTGACAGAATTGAAATTAAAAATAGTTCTACAGTAATAGAGTCTTCAATACTCCATTTAAAATAATGCATAGAAGCTGGACATGGTGGCTCATGCCTTTAATCTCAGCCACCTGGGAGGCTGCAGCAGGCGGATTGCTTAAAGCCAGGAGTTCGAGACTAGCCTGGGCCTTTTGGCCTGTTTCGGCTTTTAACGTGCCTTCCTCACTCAGCTTAATCATTTCTCACTTTTGATTTTTAATAAGAGATACGTGGCTCTTACTTCACTTGAACACATAGAGGCCTTTGTAGAGTTATTAATTGGCATAATTTCAATATTGCTGTGTCTCAGAAAACAGGGAGACCTGAGGAGAGGGGGAGATGGAGGAAGGGCAGATTGATAGAACCATTTGAACACACATATGTATCAATTAAGCTCATTATCTTTTGGGGAGCATGGTTTGTGATGCCCCAAAACAATGACAATAGTAATATCAATGATCACTGATCACAGATCACCATAACAGATAAAATAATAACAAAACATTTCAAATATTGCAAGAATTACAAAAATGTAACACAGAGATACAAAATAAGCACGTGCTACCAGAAAAGTGGCACTGGTAGACTTGCTTGATGCAGGGTTGTCACAAACCTTCAATTTGTAAAAAATGCAATATCTGAGAAGCATAGTAAAGTGAAGTGCAATAAAACAAGGTAAGCTTGTGTATGTATGCATGCACACACCAGTACACATCCACCTATCCACACACAAATCTTTGTACAAACAAATCCTGTATTTTCAAATCCAAGAATACATCATTTGCACCTTAAAAAGCAACTTTGGGGAGGCGATGCAGTAAAAGGAAATCCACCTAGGTTTAGGAATAATCCAAGACCCCAACCGGGCTAACACGGTTGAAACCCCGTCACTACTAAAAATATCAAAAAATTAGCCCTCGGGTCATGCTGGCAGGCACCCTGTAGTTCCAGCCTACTCCGCGGGAGCTGAGGCAGGAAAGAAAAATGGTGTGACCAGGAAGGTGGGGAGCTGAAGTGAGCCCAAAGATTCGCCTGCCACCTGCACTCCCAACCTGGGCCAACAGAGCGAGACTTCCATTTCAAAGAAACAAATCTTCATTAACAAATAGCAATCAAAAAATTAACTACTTAAGGAACCATTTAATAAGAAATAGCTAAAATTTCTAATATACCAAAACTACAAAACACTGATAAAGAATTGAAGAAGACAACATATCTCTGTTTACTCACTGTGATCTAAAGATATAAATGCAACCCCCATCAAAAAAATTTCAATGGCATTTCAAAGAAATGCAAAAAAGTCATTTCTAAAAATTTGTATGCAACAAGACCCCCCAGTCAAAACATCCTTGAGCAAAAAATCAAAAAGTGGAAGCATCACCATTACCTTATTCCAAAAAACTAAATATCAAAGCTATAGTATATCCAAAATAAGTAAATGGTACTGGCATAAAAACAGACAT